CAAAAATAAATCCACCGCTTCGTTAACTACAATTATCCTGCATACCGTTGACTTTTTCCCGAGTTTCGTCATTTTAATAACGTAAAATCGGATTTCATAAATCCGAGTAAAAGCCTGTTTTTTTTTTCGCCATTGAACGCAACTTCTTTGATGGGATTTGAATTTGATGAATCCGGATTTATCGGATTCAATTAAACTTATTTAACATAAAATTTAGTTGCACCCAAATGCGGCCTAAATATGTTCTTCAAAATATAATTATCGTTTTAGTTGTATCTTGCAATTTTGAAGTGTCTAAATTTTAGATCAATATGCTAGACTGATTTTAAAAATTTGTTAATTATTATGCATAATGACAAATTTTATAACTTTTAGTTTGAACTTCTCTTTTGGAGTTCTTCAAGCTAGGTATGTATTTCTCACCTTAGTAAGAAAAACACGTCAAAATCAAGACTTCTAAAAATTATCAAAATGTCCTGACCCAAAGTCTTCACCCAAAATTACAAGTAAATAGATTTCATTCATAAATCATTCTTCCCAAGTCACTAAAAGACATGAAAATCATGCCCATTTCTACCTCATTAGTCAAATTAAATGTCAATTCTCCAATCCATTTGAGATGACGTTAAACTATGCCTTTGGGATGGAGCTACACATAGTTGACTATCCACAATGAGGCCGCCATTACAACTCTTAAATCCATTATTCCTTCAACAGAGAGTCAAAAGTATCTCTTTGAGATAAGGCCATACTAGCATCTAAAACAAATCTCTAAATTAAATGTCAATTCTCCAATCCATTTGAGATGAAGTTAAACTATGCCTTTGGGATGGAGCTATACATAGTTGACTATCCACAATGAGGCTGCCATTACAACTCTTATATCCATTATTCCTTCAAGAGAGAGTCAAAAGTATCTCTTTCAGATAAGGCCATACTAGCATCTAAAACAAATCTCTAGTCATCTTGTCAATGAAGTCGACATGGTTGACACCCAAAAAATACATCAATGATCACATTCACAAATGCATATAAAATATAAATAAATCAAACCTCTATAATCCCACTGAAATGAAAATAAATGACAGCCTAGGACTAAAAATGTATCCAAAAGCTCTACATCTTCAAATCCTATCTCAATAGGAGCATATAATCACTTATTAAATCAATCTCCCAAGCCAATCCATTAAGGACCTAAACTAAGACAATTTAATCATGGCTACATAGATGAACTAGGTTATATGGTCCCATAGAAAATTATCTTATTTGCTAATCAAGCCATTCCAATTCCCCATGGGTTGCTCTACCATAGGTTATATGTTCCCTTAGAAAATTATCTTATTGGCTAATCAAGCCATTCTAATCCTCATGGGTTGCTCCACCAATCCATCCATCAAGATGTTTTATCCTCAATTATCACCTCCTTGTTACCTTACTTGACTCAACACTAACTCTACTCAAACAAAATCTAGATGAAGAGTATCAATAAGCTGAAAGGCTTAAGCCTAATAGAGTGGTCATGTCAACCAATGAACTGTTCAAGTGTTACTACATCAATTTACCAACTTAAATTTATTAAAATTTTACTATTAATTTCATACAAAGTATTAATGTACTGTGCCTTTTAGTGCCTTTACACTTAACTTTTGTGTGTAGTGGTGGACTAAAGAATAATAGTATAATAAAGTTAGTAATATTAAGACTTGAGCGCTATGTATTATTCCTAGTGCCCCTTCTATCATATCTCAGAAGATGTTATAGTTTCGCAAACAAAGAGCAAATTATGAGCTGGGCTAAGAATTGGAGGAAGGGAAGAAGAAGAAAAGGAAGTATAATTTATGTGTATAAATCCACACTTTTTAATTCCATTGTTGCTTCAACTAAGAAGTAAAATAATAGACTCCGTGGCTTGGATGAAGATGAACTATTTTGAAGTAAAAATTCAAACAGAGGTTAATTTGATTTCAAGTTATAAGTTGGGAAATGCTATAAATTAAGGGGGTCATATTTCATAGACTACTTTATAAGAAAAAATGTCAAGATGAAGAAAATGAGGAAGTTTATCCTATATTTAATCGTTGGTTGGGTAAGATACACATTTTCTATTTTAAGAAGCAAACTTATTTTAATTGATTGAGTATAAATTTGATAAGTTAGATTTGCTTATAAGCTATATGTTGGAAAGCTCTTTATATTACAAATTCCACAATTATGTCCTATTAAAAAGACAAAAAAGATTATGCATCATTTTAAATTATAAGAAAAATTAGTTAAAGTCTTAAAAGTATGTTAATATTTTTAAATTATTATTTTTATGAATAGGCTAATCTGTAATTATAAGATACACATTGAACTATGGAGTTAATTAGCATTCTTAAAATTAAAGGTATATGTATTTAAATGTTCAGCAATGAAAATGAATGAAATATATATCAAACTGCTCAATAATAAAAATGAATAAGGAAGAAATGTTATATTATATAGAATAGGCTAGCAATGATATGTTGGGATAACCTGCACAGATAGGGCCGCAAAAGAAAGCCCATATGGAGCCAAACTAAAGCTAATGTGTTTATGGTAACTGATATCAACATAGATAGGGTAAAACAAATGATCCTTATGAAAGCAAAATAATTTTCAATATGTAGCTTATGATGGCCAATGAACATAGCGCCATATACTTGATACATTTAAAAGTTGAACTATGATCTTCTATATTAAATTATAAATGAAACGAGTAAAAATAGATTTATAAAAGGATTAGTCTAGCATGATGACACATATACATGCGACTGAATAGTGTTTATAATATTTTTGTCTCTAGTAAAGTTAAAAAGTTTTTTCTAGTTAGATATCTCACTTACAATTCGACCAGCTATAGTTCAAGTAATTTCATTTTATAAGAAAAACCAGTGAAACACTGGACTAGTCCATGAGCATATTTTAATTTCTTGAATCTATGAATTGTGTGTTAGAATTATTTATTTCGTAATCTTCTAAACTTATCAAATATTATGGCGAATATTATTTCAGGTAGAGAGAAGCAAAATTGACTTTGAGAGAGGATCGAGTTTTGATGAATTAGTTTATATGTGATGTAAGATAAAACATGATCAGATATGTATATAATGAAAGTTTTTATGCTATATAAATAAAATCTAATGTTTTTTTAAAAGGTATGTAATTGAATGAATGAGATTTTGGAATACTTTCTCACAAAATGCTTTCACTCAATAAATAAAAAATTATACTATAAGATTGGTTATAATCATTTGGGGGAGTTTATTACTTGTTCATTTGAATGGATAACTTTTGAGAAGAGTGTTGGTGATAAATTCATTCAATTGAATTTTACTCCCCTTTATTACACCTGTTACACTTAGTGAGGTTGTCGCGGGGCGTTAAATGAAAGATATTCTAAATTGAAAGTTTCATTAGATATATATTTCTTAGCTGTTACCAATTTTTTAAAATTACAATAATTACATACATATTTCACAAACATCAAGAATAGCTACTTGACCAAGATACAATGCATATGAAAATCTAAAACAAGAAAAAATAGATTTTCAACAATGATTTGAGCCTCTCTAGAAAAGGAGTAAATATAAAAGGTTCACATAGAAACTGTAACTGATTTTTAAAATGATTTGATTGAGATTTAGAGTAGAAATTACTCAAATTAGCATTTCTACTCCAATAAAATACAGCTCATAAGCTCAATAGATTTACCATTCAATGGAAAAATGTTATTGTGTACAACAAAATTTGCTCAACATATGCAGCAAATTTATAAGGCACAAATATTTCAAAAAGCTATTCGTGTTTATGTCAGATTTGAGTCAGACACAACACACCTCCAAAAAGCACAAAAATTGTCCAACGTGCTAGAATTGTGCCCAACAAGCTTATTCAAAAGCTAGAAGCAGATATTGCCAAGTCAACCCCAAACACAGCCAATAGACACGTCAACACATATGGGACATGCTTAAATTGTTCCTAGTTCAATAATGTTTTTGTTTAGATTGGATGATTAGTGGGTATCCTATTGTCAAGTTTTTTAAGTCTAATTATCGATCAATACATCAATGCATTCATATTTTATTTATTATTTTGAAAATAAACTTTTTTGTTATTATTTTGAAAATACACTTTTTTTGTCACTTAGTATTTTATATAAACATTAGAATGATAAATTAATGTTGAGTGGCTAATGCTAATGTTGGTGTGTTATTCAGACTAATGTGCATTTGAAGAAATATTGAAATGTAAATCTATATGAACCAAAAAATGTTTTTCTTTTGTTGATACTCAAGATGTTTAAGGGATAAATATGTTTATAATTCATTGTGTAATGTAATGATTTTTACAGAAAATATTTATCCTAAAATACTACTCATTTTATATTAATAAATTATAAAAAAATGCGATCACTGCATGTCATGTCATGTTTTTTTTATTATGTTGAGTGGTTGTGCTCAAGTTTATCATTTCCATGTTTAGTTAGTGTCCGCGCTTCACTACAATAGAGGTAGATATAAGTTTGTCACACATATCAGACAAAAATGTAAATTTAAAATATTGATAAGAATAAAATATGACATTGTGACATTATTTCACTAACTAGTCACCGAAGATTGACATTATTAGCACAATCTATCACTGGTCACCTCAAAAGAATCAACAGAATTTTCAAGGAAGATTGACATTATTAGCACAATCTATCACTGGTCTCCTCAAAAGAATCAACAGAATTTTCAAGAAGTTACAGATCGACACTAATAGCACAAATCTAATACCAGCTTCCACAGAAAAGAGCAACGAATTAAAAAGCAATTTTAGTTACAGTATTCAGCACAATGATATAGCTTGTAGATAAATGCACATTTTGCAGAATAATATTAAAAAATATAAGATGTTCGAATAAAAAGTAGGAACATTACTATAGGCATGTGCATAACAATCTGTACAAATGCATCTACAAAATAAAAGAGACTCACCTAAATTAATACTGCGAGACTCACATTTTGCAAAATTTGCAATTCCTCGAGCAACTTGAGATATGACATTGATGTGCATAGATCTGCCCATAGCCAAAAGTGCTTTAATGCCGCCATCTTCTTTTAGCAACAAGTGCAGCCTTTCTGTGAACAGAAAACATGAAGAAAATAATTTTTTAACGAAAAAATAACAACATTGCTTTTTCATATATTTTAAAATTTTGTCCAAATAACGAATTAGCTTTTCAGAAGATAGAGAAAACTGGGAAATTTCAGTTCTTACCAATAAATGAACTAAACAGCAAACATGGTTTTCAAACTTCTAGTTTTAGTAACAACAATCAATAAACTTCAAGTAAATACACGTTAAACCTTCCTGTCCTAGAGGATTTATAACAGGGATTTAACCCAATGATTAACCACCCATACCGAACAGCCTTTTGGTTCCCATCAATAAGGAACAAAAATTTGTAGACACCTATGCATATGTATGGAGATCCCCAAAAAAGTTACTATAAAACCTAATCTTTGAGTCGAGTAAAATCCGTGAAAACATATTTGTCAGCGCAATTATTTCAGGACTACATTAGGTTTAGTAGCTGATTCATTGAATCTTTTTAAATTCTTATTTATGACGTTATACCATAGGTTATATTTTTTCAAAAATTTCGGCTAGTTATTGAACCCATAAGATCCAATTGTAGATTGAATTTTTTGGGTAAAATATCTACAATTTGATTTCCATATAAGAATGCATTGTATAGGACTCATTAGCAAATAGAAGCTTCCGGAAGTTTACATCTTAAGTTTAATTAACATACTTTAATCAATTTATAGAGAAATAGAATTCAGTCTACTTCACTCATATGGTCAAACATCAACTTTTCATAAAAAATATACATAAGAATTTCCGCTCAGCAGTTACATGATCACTAAAATAATTACCTGATTGATTAAAATACAATTTCATTTATTTCAATAAAGAAAATCTTTTGACTTTCTTGAAAGATATTAAAACACATCTTCTGACTTGTCTAGTCAGTAAATACTTGGGAGTACATGCACTTCACTTCTATATTACTGTAATTTTTCAGAAAAAAACAAATAGCACCTTCATCATTTAACAGCAACTTACATCACTAACCTTCATATGGAAGATGCAAAAATCTAGCTAGCTGTCTGATGTTTACCTCTATAGAGTATACTGCTTTAACAATTAGTGTGTCATATTAATTGGATATTTAGAATATCTAACAAGAATAGAAATTCACGCCAGTAAAAGATGCTAATGGAAAAAAAAAGTAATCCCTGCTTATGATGAAATCATTTTAACATACAAAATTCTTTAAACAGGGTAAAGATGTGCATTTATTATATGCTGTCACCATCATTGGTTTTATCTTAGCCGATCAGAATAAGAGCATATCTGCATTAATTATTTCTTGACACCATCATTGGTTTTATCTTAGCCGATCAGAATAAGCGCATATCTGCATTAATTATTTCTTGACAAAAAAAAAAATCCATAACCATATATAATATGTGCATTATCAACTTTATACCATTTCCACACAAATTTGCTATTGCTCCAGCAACCATCCGAAGAGTTTGTGGATCATCTGATTGAGAAGACATATTTGCTAAAAGGCGAGCTCCCCCTTTACAAATAATCAGATCTTGATTAAGCCCTACAAACCCAACAGAATATGCATGAAAAATGAACCATTTAACTTTTGAATTGACATAGTACTTGCCAAAAAAAATTAGAATAGAGGATTTAAGAACATTGCTACAATAGAATAGGTGGATTCAGGATTAACATTAAATTGTAACCAATCAATAACAAAAACCTAATATACGAAAATATATCTTCACTTGAACCTCTCAAAATATCTCACATATGTACCAATTGAGGTGCAGCAATTTTAGAGGCGCTAGCAAATCTTCCCACCCATTTTCATGCCAAATTTCAATTTAAAATTAAAAAAAGAAACCAAGGCAAACAATATGCAGACAACTAAATTGAATAAATTAAGATAAAGAATAATTAAAAAAAGTCAAGCCATTCATGCTTTTTGAAATCTATTTATTTCCAAAATAGAGTGAATTTGAGTAGTTTTGATATAATAAAATTAGATAAGTTAAACAACAAATCAATAAAAGAAGCAGATTTTAAATTAGAATATTCAAATAATAATCATATTTTTTTAATTCTTTAGAAGAAAATGAGTAGCTTTATGAAATTACTATATCCTTGATTACTTAGTACAATTCCTACCTTAACTTCAATAAACTAGAAATGATAAAGCCTTTGTTTTGAGTTGGTATGTTTTAAGAATTTCGTTAGCATGAAAATTATTTTGATAAGCAAAAAATAACAAAAAGTGAAACAATAAATCACTTACCATATTCAATTAGCATACATGAAAAAGAATTACAAAATCATATATGTTTTATTTGCAACAGTACATCTTAATTTTATTGTACCACATGCCAAACAAATTTAGGCAGGTTAATTTACTTTTTCAACGTGTTGTCGGCCGTTTTAATTTTCTAGTTTTGGTTTTGGTTTTTGGTAAAGAGATAATTTTGTAGATATGAAAATAGTTTAAATATAAATATGTGATTTTGATTTTTGAAACTAATATTTTTTTTTTAATTTTTGAAAATAGATGAGACCAAACAGGTCTCACATTTTGAATAGTTTGGATGACTGAGCATAATGCCACAAGTAATACACTTATCCCGAATAATAAACATATCACTTGTAGTAGACTCAATCACCTAAACTAAAGAATTTGTGACATTCATTTGATCTTCAAAATATTTTTATATGAGGCCAACAAGTTCCCCTACCTAATATAAAGATTAAATAGAGTTTATTTTACCTGGGTTCCAAGTTCCCCATAAAGGCAAATCCTATAGTTAATTGCATTTTAAATGATTGGGGTTACTTAAAAAAACTCTCAATTAAGATTAGTGGTTCTGCCTTCAAGATTTCAAAGTTTAGGTTTCCACGATTGGACATGGAAAAATCAAATGGGAGTGGCTCAAACAGAAACAACTATTTTAAAGAATTCAGAGGAATGAAGAGTATAGGATGTCACAGATCCAGGAAAAACCCTGGTAATTTCCCAACTATCCTATTGTTTGGTTTTATGTCTTTGAAATAATGTTGTTTAACGCTTCGTCGTCGGATGTCGTTTTAACGAATTCATTGATATGCGTGCAATTTGTTTGTGTAAAAAATTATAGCAATATGGGTGTCTTTTCTTCTAAAATTGATGTCCCGGACGCGTTGGCGCAATCTATTTTGTCGTCAGAGGTCGTCCGGAGAAGTTCACATTTTCACCCATTATTTAAGTTCAATTTTAGTCCGATCTTGTGCAACTTAGTGAATTTTATGTATTTTGTGTGTGTGTGTGTGTGATGATAAAGTCCTGAAGAGGTTTTCTTAGGGTTTGAGATCCTATTGAGAACTTCTCCCTGAGTCTCCACATGATAGTCCTTAATCACTCGGCCATACGACGATGGTTTTGAGATCATCAATGTAGGACATCACAAGAGAAATAGGTGGTTAGAATTTCTAAGGGGATGGATTCCAATACTAGTTTTCTAAGATAGTTAATAGGAATCCCTAGAGCTAGATCCTAGGATCCTAAGAAAAAGAGTAATGACCTCAAAATGAGGTCAACACGTGTCTTTCTCCCAAACAATTTAATGTTTATATAAACATTAGACACTTCAAATGCTTTGAGAGAAAAATAAAATTCTAGACAAATCTCACTCATTCAACAACACAAAGGCTATATGAAAAATCAGACATTCATAAAACACAGAAAATATTAAAAAAAAATGAAAACTAAAGACGCAAACCCTATAGTTAATTACATCTTAAATGATTGATGTTACTTAAGAAAACTCTCAATTAACATTAGTAGTTCTGCCTTCAAGATTTCAAAGTTTAGGTTTCCACGATTGGACATGGGAAAATCAAATGGGAGTGACCCAAACAGGAACAATTATTTTAAAGAATTCAGAGGAATGAAGAGTATAGGATGTCACAGATCCAGGAAAAACCCTGGTGATTTCCCAACTATCCTATTGTTTGGTTTTATGTCTTTAAAATAATGTTGTTTAATTTTTAATCTTGCAATTTATTTAAAATTTAGGACTTATATTCGCACGATATTTGATCGTGCAAATGACCTAAAAAGATAGGAGGATTTACACCGTACCGTACACTAACCTCGGAATCCTAAAGTGTTAGGACTTATAATTGCACAACAGGGTTATGCAAAAAGCCTAAAAGTGATATGTGAGGGTTTACGCTGCGCTAGACAAACCACCTCAAAATCCTATGGGTTGTTATTTAAACTAAGAAGAGTGTTTAATGATATGAATTTGTTTTGGCGTTGCTCTTCTAAATGTCATTGTCATGCCGCCTACAATATTTGCTCCAAGCTCCTTCTCGTAGCACCTCCGGATTCGATGTTAATTTTAAGGGTATATGCAATTGTTTAATCAACGCTTTGCTGCCGGGTACCTCCTATAAAATCAACTACTGACCTCCTTTTCTAAGGTATAGTGTGTAACAGAACAATAAAACATGCAGTATAAAAGAAAATAACAGTAGAATGTACCGTAAAGAAGAAGAACAATATAGTATGCCATATAAAAAAAAGGAACAGTAGAATGTACAGTATAGAAGAGGAATAATACAGTATGCTGTGAAGTAAAATGCTGTGATGTAAATCCAACCTGTATATCTGGGAGGCATGCTGTTCCTTTAAGCGAGCTAGTATTTACTGTATAAATAAAAGAAACATTGCCTGAAAAACTCGAGAAAATTGACAAATGACCCACGATGGAAAACTCGGGAAAAATCGACAAATGACAATTCTAAGAAAATTATCAAAATCTTAGGAAGATCCAAAAAAAAAGGACCATGAGTGTTTTCCACAAAAAATTCCAAAAAAACATATAAAAATCCAAAATGGGGGGACCGGAAGCACTCGGGTCGGGGCTAAACTCAAATATAATATATTTGTAGTCGAGGGACGTCAAAGGCTACTATTGGTCACCCGGATGTATAAAACCAGTCACTCAACTAGAAGGGTGTCCTACTAAACCTAACTTAGGAGGGTACTCCTTAGCCCGATACTGGTAACCAACAAGTGGACAACCAAGTTGTAACACATTTAAAATTTATATGTTAGCACGCACATGGATTTCAGACATACAAAAAAGAAGTTGTATCCATTTCGTAGTGAAAATATTTTTATAAATATTGTATCTGTTCTTATCATGTTTTTGAAAAGTATAATTGTCCACAAGTCGATCACGTCGTCGGACATAAGATCGCCAACAACCTAAGAAGGTACGGGTCGCCCGCTAGTCTTGTGTCGGTGAATGATATTGTCATCCTACAGTTTATCAGATCCCAGTATTGGGTTCTGATATCATATCGTAGGATGAAATATCATTCTGCTCTACCATCAGCGTGTCTTTGTCATCAGCGCCCTCAGCCCCAAAACAAAACCGACATATTTGCGACATTGTTTGATAGTTTCATATATAACAGAAGGCTACATATGAGCACTTATGTGTCATAAGCACAGAAAACCGAACCAAGAAGCAAAGAAAAAAAATAAAATGGGGATCAGAGAGAAGAGGAATTGATCTACCCAAAAGACCGAAAGGATAAAGGGTGAAGCAACCCTCAAAACTGTGATAAAAAGATCTGAAAAAGAGAGCCCAAGATCCTTGAATCAATCTAGTGGATATCATTTTCTCAAAATTTTTTTTTTAATATTTAGATCAACCCAAGAAGGATATCCTCTCCAAATTTTGTTTCGAACAGGTCGAATCAAGCCCAAAACTAATGTAATAACTGTAACCATGGCTCCACCACCTATATGTACTCACACACCCAAGCCTGAACCCAAATACAATATTTATGTTCTCCAATCTTTAATGTTAAATCTGCAAACACTTTTTCCAAACAACAATTTCAGAAGCTTTCAAATCCTTTCATAAATCCAACTTATATCAACTTCATGATTCCCCAAAATAAAGCTATTAACGTCTTTCATATTCCACAAAATAAAAAAGAATAATCCATAAGGGGCAATTTTCTAAATCTTCAAAAACTAGGCCAATATCAAATTCATTCAATTCCATCCCTTGTTAAAACCTTTTTCACAATTGTATAAATGTAACACCAATTTAGAAAATATAGAAGTGCTCACGGCGGGGCAAAATGAAACTGAATAATCCTCAACAGGCTGTCGATCATTTTTTTTTTTTTGATATTGGATTTTGAAAATACGATTTTCAAAAATTTAATTTAAATATAAGGTATATATTATAGATTATGAAAGTAGAGTTTTAATTTTTTTGAAAATAAGATCGAATGGATCTCATTAGTCCAATAATTTGCATAATCATGTCTGACACCCTGAATACTACACATTCTAAGAGAAAAGTGTAGACTTCGATAATAGGCTCAATCCTGCAAACTAATAGATTTGTGGCATCCATTTGGTCTGCGAATATTTTATATGTGACAGACAAATTCTCCTATTTAATACAAGATTAAATAAGGTTTATTTTACCTGGGTTCCAAGTTCCCTATAGAGACAAACCCCTATAGTTAATTACATCTTAAATAACGGGAGTCACTTGA